AAGAAAGAAAGAAAGAAAGAAAGAAAGAAAGAAAGAAAGAAAGAAAGAAAGAAAGAAAGAAAGATAGTTATGATTCCCTGTTCGGTAAAAAACAAAGGTCACCAAGGTAGCTACATGACTCAGGAAGGATTTCAGTCTGGGTTTCCTGGATCATGTTTGGCAGGCTAACCATTATACAACATTAAAAGCACTAAATTGAATTAAGTTGCTGACAAGGGTGGTGTAGTAATGTTCATATAGCAATGGCAGTTACTTTTGGAAGATTTGAGACCAACATGTTAAGCTCAAGAGAGCCAGCAAAATAGTTTTGAAGAATACTAGAAGAGAAAATGATTTTTTTTTTCCCTCGGTGAAGTTAAATTGATTAATGTAATGTCAGCAAACATGCATGCCTCTGGGAGCCTGCCGATGATCCAGCTGGCATTTGTGTTGCTCCTTGGTCTTATTTTCCTGTTGCTTTGGTTACTTTTGTGGTCTGTTGGGCATGGAGGAACATGATAGGTTGTTTAGAGTCCTAAAACAAACCAACTGTTAATTTTTGCTTTAAACAGGCCGTTAATTTTTGTGTGCCACCTATTTAAAACCCTAGTGCAGGGTCTTTGTCTAGCAAGCAGAAAATAGGCAGCTATTTCCACCATGGGTGACGGGATGTAATTTTATAAAACGAAACACCCTGTTAACTTGATACCTCATAAAATGAATAATACTGTTGCCGCTCCCAGGACAAACAATCCATTGTTGCTGGCCTTCAGCTTCTTTGACACTGGAAAGTATTCTGTCAAGAGTTCAGGAAAGTATCCTTTTTAGACCGGTCATGGCCATGCTAGCTGGGGGATTCTGGGAGTTGTAGTCCAAAAAGGCAGTGTTCCAAACTCCAATCGGTGGAGGCCAATAAAGCGAAGCCTCCATGCTACCTTAGCCCATAATCCAGTCCTTGTTTTCAAGAAGAGCGAAGAATCGCCGTGCTTTTCCAGAGATGCAAATCAACGCAATTCTCTCGATTCTTAGCTATTTACTCATTTATTTCAACTTACTGTATACCGCCCTATAGTGCAAAGCACTCTTTGGGCAATAGAAAACAACACAACGCTGTCTACAGACACGTATCATCCACCAATAAAATCCATCAGTCAGCAAACCCACTGAACTGGCCAAACCCATCTTGAGATAAGCAAGCAATTCAAAATGATGTTGAACTACTCAGGGGCTAGCAGTAATAAAAAAAGCAGCTTTAAACCATTCCATTTCAATGGACTTCTTAAAAGCCGAGAGGGGAGTCACCTGCCAAACCTCTACAGTATTGCTAGTTTATTCTCAGAGGTGTGGGAAACACAATTGAGAAAGCTCGGTTCCTGATGTTCATTCTTCTGACATCCTTTGGTGGTCCCGTTTTTAATATCCTGGAGTGTGAAGAGTGGGGTGGGCCAGGCAGCTGTTTTTTCCTGACACAGCCAAAGTTTACTCAAAAGGAGACACTTCAGCTCCAAAAGCTGTTGCTTCTCTGGAGGCAGAAACTGAGATTAAGCGTCAAACAGAAGCCTGCTTGTATGGCTGACTTTCCAGATTGTTTAACGGTTTGCTGCCATTACTTACCATTCCAAGGGGGGATTTCTGGCTCACTGGCCCAGTTTTACTGGCAGTTGTATTTATGTTAGCAGAGGGGAACATGCCCATCTTCTGGCTTTTATTCTCAGCTACTGCCTCAAGAGAAGAGTTCATGTTTTTTTTTCCCTTCCAAAATCGGGTGTTGCTTTTTCCTCTTCTGCATTTCACAGTGGCCTGCAGAGCTGATTTTCTGCCCGTTGTCGTCTGACCTATGAGACCGGAGCATAAAAACAGCCCTGCCCAAGGTGTTTATTCAGTTCTGGTGTTTAACTTTCTAGTGAACAGGGCCTCCACCTCACCACAAACTTTATTTCGCTGCAGCTGGTACACTGATTTACAAGAGGATTTACAAGACAACTACGATTTATAGGCTTTGACATTTTTATTTGATGTGAAGTTTTGCCTTTGATTCTGCCTCAAGAGCAGAGTGAGGACATAACTACCTGCAAGAAACATAGTTATTTGTAAAGAGTTACTTTTGGGGATAACGAGAGTGTTAGTTACATTTCAGAAGTAAGATAATCATTTTTGTCAAAGTTAATTTTTAGAAGTAATGAGGAACGTTTTAGTTACTTTCAATTGTGATTTTTCAAGGGGCATTTTTAGAGCCATGTAGACAGGAATTTCCCAAGTTCTGTACCATTCACATACCAGTCCCAATCGGAGAAGGAAGAATTGTTTGGGTTAGTTTTCTGTATAAATATTAACAAGGTGCAGTATCACAATTGACCATTAGAGGGGGACAGAGAGTAATTCCCTACGTTCCGGTATGCTGGACATAACACATTAACGACAGACATAGAAATGAACTGCTTCTTAAAGCAGAGCAGCGATAACCATGATATTGCCATCCTGGCTTCCTAAAAGTAAAAAAATAATGCTACAAAGTCATTTTGAAAACAGTTGCTGGCTAAAGGAAACCTCTGCTTTTCAGTTTTAGCATCAGATTGTATGAGTTCAACCGAGAAAGAAGAATGTTTGCTATAGGGAAGAGAAAATAGTGGAAAGAAAGTAGACTTTCCTAAGACAGGCTTCTAGTTGGTTAATCATAGTTAGAAACCACCAGAGCTTGGAAAAATTACTTTATGGACTACAGGTCCCAGAATTCCTCAGCCAGCCTCCCTAATCTACCTCCGAACTGTCTCATTGTGGAACGTACTTATGCTAACTACCTCATTTGTCAGGGTAGGAAAATATTCCATTGGCTATGTTGATCTACATGGTTTAACATTTACTGTACTTATTGTTGCAGAAAGAAGATCTCCAAATATATGAAAAATATTGCCAAAACAAGCCAAGGTCAGAAGGTCTTTGGAGGCAATGTGGAGATAGCCTGTTCTTTCAGGTGGGTTCTTATTAGGGTTCGGACAGTCGGAAGAGCACCTCCTCTTCCAGATGAATTACATTTGTCCTCCTCAACCAAGAGAATGAGTTTGTAAACTACACTGAAGGAATGAATTTGCTGAGTGCTTCAATATATATAATTTTTCCTTCTCACCTACGTATGTTTCTCTTACTAAAGGAAAGTTTTCATCTCAGACCTACCTGCTTGTTCAAACATTGACCCCTCCCTGCTTGAGGGCATCTTTTATTCCACGAGGCCTCACATGTTGGTAGACTCCAAAATAAACATGTGTCAGAGGATGCGTTCTTTCAGAAAAGCTAGTAGAAAAGAATTAGCCGCTCAGTCGACTGTTAGTGAGTTCAAAAATCTGTTACTGTTAGGTTTAAGTGAGAAACAGGAAACATTAAATACGGAATGTATTTATGATAACTGGCAATTTAATTATTATTGCGCAAGATCAATTTGCTTCCAAATTATAGCAACGCTAATAGGCTTTTTGAATTATGCGAGTTGTGGAAGAAATTGTTTACCTCTGCGGTCAGATTCCATGGCTAAGGAAGGATTTGAACCCAGTTCTGGGTCCTAGTCCCATACTTTATCCTCTATACCAGACTAGCTGTCAGCATTTAAATTGGGTGACTACGATAAACCCTTATCAGGAAAAAAATCCCATTATTTTATACCTCTCTCGCCCCTCTGTTTTAACCTTTGAAAGGAAGGAAATGCCTCTATGATTTTTTTAAAAACCTATTTCTGATCCACTGCTCCAGACCTTTCTCTTGTTTTCCCTCTGTTCATCCTTTTAATCATTTCTCCCTACCACTCTTCACTTTTAATTTATTGACTCCAGACTAAGGGTAAAGGTCCCAGGGAGTCAAAATTCCATTTTCTAGAATAGGTGAGCAACCTCTAAGTGGTATTCAGTGTAGAACATAAGAGGACCACCATCCTGATGCAAAAAAATGCCATCCCACAGTTCCAAACAATCCTTAATATCTGTTGCTTTGAAGTCTTTTAGTCTTTAGACTATAAGGGTAATTAAATAATGAAGACTTTGTTTGCACCCACTCATTTAAAGTTCTACATTGTGGACATGCACCAAGGGGCTATTTTCAGAGTTTAGTTACACCCAGGAAAAAGTATTTATAGGATTGCAGTTCCTTAACAGTGCAAATCAAAGCAGATTTACTCACAATCAAATCCCACTGTGTTTTTACTCCTATGTATACATTTGTTTAGGGACCTGGTGGCGCTGTGGGTTAAACCACAGCAGAAGCCTCTGTGCTGCAAGGTCAGAAGACCAGCAGATCATAAGATCAAATCCACGCGATGGAGTGAGCTCCCGTCGCTTGTCCCAGCTCCTGCCAATCTAGTGGTTCGAAAGCATGTAAAAATGCGAGTCGATAAATAGGTACCACCTCGGTGAGAAGGTAACAGTATTCTGTGTCTAGTCGCACTGGCCACGTGACCACAGAAACTGTCTACGGACAAAATGCTGGCTGTATGGCTTGGAAACGGGGATGAGCACCGCGCCCTAGAGGGGGACACAATTGGACTAAATGTCCAAGGGAACCTTTACCTTTACTTCGACATCTGTTTATTTATTAGTTACATATATATAGTCTGTCTGTCTTCCAATTTTCTTGTATATTTTTTTGTGAGCCTATTTTATTTTTCAATAAAAATCAAACATTGGGGTAAGGACGAAAGTGTGTGATCTGACTCAGCTGGCAAAAGATAGACCTGTCCACGGCCAAGATCAGATTCTCCATAGAGAGGGCTCGATCCAGGAGCATGCCAAGACAATGGAGCTCATCCTTCAGGGGACATGTGATTCCATCTAGACCAGGTGAAAGGCCTCCTAATGGATCAGAGTTTCCTCCTAACAACAGGATCTCCATCTTGTTAGGATTCAATTTCAGCCTGTTGGGCCACTCCCCATAACCAGGGATCTGCACAGTTTCCGCTGCTGAAGAGGAAAAGGCGAGATAGAGCGGCGTGTCATCAGTGTACTGGTGACAACACACAATGGATCCCTGAGTGATCTCCACCAGCAGCGTCATAGAGCTGTTGAAGGGCAATGGAGAGACGATCGACCCCCTGTGGGTATCACATTGTAAGACCCACAGGGAGGAAATAGCCGAACCTTCTGGCACTGATCTGGTGATATTTGGTCTGATGATACTTTATCACATCACCAGTTTTTCATAAACAGAGAAAGAGAGATTAAAACTGGATTCTTGTCTAGTAGATGGCCTAAGGGCATATATGTTTATTACAGTGTGACCTATATCTGTGGAATGGAACTCTATAAAAGACTAAAAAGAAGAGGAAGAAAATACCATAGAAATAGGGGCATTATATTTTCTAAGTAAATCACATTTTTTTTCCTCATAGGGTGTCCCCAAAGACTTGTGCTTTAAAATAAACTATTTGTCTCGTCTTTATGTTCCCATAAATCCTGATACTGAACTTTCAGAATGTGTTTTACTGGAATTGGATGAAAAACCGCTTCCTTAGGGAGACAACTGATCCCTGAAACAAATGATGTGGAACATTAGTAAAAGCCAGCTGGGGTGGAAGCTCCATCTTTCTGTTAAACTTTGATACATAAGAGGTATCGGTTTTGAGTGAGGATACAATTACTATTCATGATTTTTCTCATCCTTGATTTAAAAAGCAAGTTGTGACCCATCTAAACACATTGTTTTAAAATTGTCCACCACGGTGGTTCACTCCTGCATAACAGCAGAAAAGGCCAGCACCTTTTTTTTTATATGTCAGCTGCAACATTAGTAACAAAGCAAAAGCCAAGAGGAACAAAAGCCGTTTGGCATAAAAAGTGTACATTTTCAGCAAAAGGCAAGGCTGTTTTCATACAAAATACGTATTCTGCACAAAAAAGAGAAATGAACTCTTCTATGAATGTTTAGCAAATCAAATAAGAAGGAAAAAAATTACTATTTTCCTTTTTCATGGATCCTGGTTGTGGACCGTGTGCTAAGGGGCTATTCTGAGTATTTTCTATAAGCCAATGGGGGTGTGGGGGGAGGCGATGTGCTCCCTGCAGAAATTTGAAAAGGAAAGGTGGATAGTGCTAAACTATTACAAACAGGTGAACTTTCAAGACTAGCAGGATCCTTCATGAAGTTGAGGGGGCCTGAGGGTTAAACAGATTAATCTAAAGTAATCCTGATCCTATGTTGCACTGTCAGGATTAAAATAAGGCCTCAAGATGGAGGCTGGAAGCTTGTTGTATCCTCTTGAGTTCTGTCGTTTCACCTGAAGCAATATAGAAGGACCTAGTATGTATCCGAATCGGTACCTACCTTAACCAAACATGATACTAAAACAGAACAAATATGGGATTTTCCCATTCTCAGAGCCAGTTCTGATATTAGACAGAGTTAATCAACTGTATATTCGCGAAGGCTTTCACGGCCAGGATCTAATGGTGGTTCTGGGTTTTTCGGGCTCTTTGGCCATGTTCTGAAGGTTGTTCTTCCTGACGTTTCGCCAGTCTCTGTGCAGGTTGCTGTCCTCTGAAGATGCCGGCCACAGAGACTGGCGAAATGTCAGGAAGAACAACCTTCAGAACACGGCCAAAGAGCCCGAAAAACCCACAACAACCATTAATCAACTGTCTCAGGTGGAAAATACAGAGGAAGCCTCTCAGTCATTCATTCTGTACTTCCCAGTCTGTCCTGCATATCCTCTGAGCCAGCATGATGTGCTCAGGTGTGGTGGAAGATCCTGTACTATTACCAGTACTGTTAAATCTTGGTGGTATTGGTCTGGCGGCCATTTTTGACCATAAAAAGTTCTCCCCCATCCTGAGGCTCCCAAGGCTTCCCCAAGGCAAAAGGGATCTCTAGGGAGCCTCAGAACCTGAAAATGGTGGCGGTGAGGGATAGAAAGCATTCAGTCTGTTTAAATGAATTATTTCTGGTGCAGGATCCAGTTTATGCCAGGATAATTTTAACTCAACTGGATTTGGCTCAATGAACGCCAGTCAACTGGAAAAGATTCACGGAGGTGGAAATGAATGTGTACTACAGTACTATGTTCTCGTGATCTACATCAGTGACGTTTATGTATGAAGTTCAGCACTATTTCAAAATTCTGAGATAACAGAATTTTCCTGCAAGTTTATACTTATCATTCAGCGAGGAGATGATGAACTATAGTGGATCAATTAGTCCTTTACTCTTGGGATCCCAACATGGCTCCACAAGAGGCTACAGTAAATCTTTGTTGTGCTTCAAAGATATAGGGACGTCATTTTTATTATTGCTGGCTGCATGCAGCCACCTTTTCTGAACAGCCAGAGGATCTCTTGTGTTTGTGAACTTGGAAGCATGTTCACTTTTAAAAGCAACAGGTAAGGCCATTTCAAAATATATTATATTATATTATACTTCCCTTCTTGAGGCTCCTGCCTGCTCTGTTCATTTTTCAGACCATCACGCACTTCATTCCTACCTTTCCCCCTTTCTTCTTTTCCAGGAATGTCAGCGGAAATTGGACCATAAACTTTCCCTTGATGCTTATCTCTTAAAGCCAGTCCAGAGGATTACCAAGTACCAGCTGCTTTTAAAGGTAGTCAACGAATATAAAAATTCACTTTCTACAAAAGACAAAGGGAAGTGTTGGCCATACTGTAGTTTTATAGAGCACTAAAAAAAACCGTCATACACCCTGCAAGCTTTCGTTAGGTGTGTACCAGTGTGTAAAACCTAAAAGTCCAAACGTTCATGGCAAGAGGGCTTTCACCAGGCACGTCTTTCTTGGATGTAAATCAGGACAGATCCAGACTGCATTCGGGCTGTGGTTGCAGCTGAGGCAGCTGTGTGGAGGTTACAGCTGAGGCAGCTGTGGATTGGACGTCACACCTTGGTTCTTCTAAGAAAGAGGCACAATCCATGCACACCCTCCCATTTGGCCTCTCTTTGAAATGGACGTGTTTCTGACCCCAATTGATTAATCCTAGTGAGTTTGCACAATTCCCAGATGGGAGACCCCACCCTCACTCCCTCGCCAAGCAGAAATGTGTATCCAAGGTCGGTGCCTCTTTGTTTCATGAACTGGGATGTGATGTCCAATCCACAGCTGCCTTAGCTGTAACTTTAAAACCACAGCCCTCATGCCGCCTGCGTCTTTCCTGACTTACATCTAAGAAAGACATGCCTGGCGAAATTCATCTTGCCATGAAATTTTGGACTGTCAGAGCTTCACACTGGTCCATGCTTGACAAAGGGGGTGGTCCATGAAATCTCCAGGTTGTATGATGGGGCTTTTTTTTTAGTCGTCTATAAAGGTATCACCTACTCTTGCATTTGTATTTTGTAATGACTGCACAGCTTGCTTTTTACTTCTACAAAAGGAAAGGACTATGGCTAGGAGCAACGGCTGCCCATTGTGGTGAATGGGGTGGAAGGCACAGTCATCGCTTAGGGAAGGAGTCAGGAGTAACAAGCAGACCTAAGAGTAAATGGGGGATATTAACAGAGACATGGATATGTATTCACACACAGACAGGCAAACAGGGATTCACTTACCCAAGAAGGCATTCACGCAGACATTGTCCCATCTTTACCCATTCATTCACTCCACAATGCAACCAAAAAACCCCAGAAAAACCACCATACTCTCAAATTAAAAAATTCTGCTTTTCATTCTTGCTTTCCTCTGTGCCTGCTTTCAAAGATGGAGAACTGATTTATTCCACTCATTTATTTTAACAGTTTTTTCCCTCCACACTCCTCATTCTTTCACAAACACTTAACACAGAGCGGATAAGGCAGGGAGCTAAGCAAACGGGGGTTGCAGTCCGGTCAAGGAGATGATCAGGCGTGGTCTGGCTGGGGGTAGCCTGACAACCTGCCTCCACTAGCTTAAAATACGCACAGTCAAATCAAAGATGGAGGCACTGACAGCGCAATCCAGTGTATTGAGTCCTGTTGAGTTAATGAGGGCTTATTCTCAAGTCAGTTTGTAATTATTTCTCCCTTACAATGTCTTTAAACTGCCTTTCCTCCTTGTAGGCATCAGGGAGGGGTAGAAAAGTGTGATAAGAAGGGATCCCTAAGTGCAATAAAATAAGTGAACCCCTATCACCAACATAACATGATCAAGGAAGATGAGTAAGCCTAATAAATAGATCAGAGAAGCCCATTCAAATGCCTGGGTAAATAAAAAAGTTTGGAGCTTGGCAGACAAAAGATTACAGTGGAACCATCAGTCATCCCATAAACCTGCACGTTCTTATTTAGAGAGTTGAGGAATACTGGTAAGCCCATATTAATGCCTTTATTCTTATCAGGAAACAGAGTGTTGACCCTCTAGGGAGTAGGGGTTTGAGATTAGAAGCTGATTTTAAATTGATAATAGAAATAAGAGAATAAGATTTGTCATTTGCCTTTCAATGCATGATGACCACTATTGATGTTTAGGTTGGATTTGGTCCTCTTCTTTATTTATCTGTTGAGTGGTTACAGCGGCATTTCACTTTTCTTTGTATGAGATACTGGCTCTCTTTCTCTCTGGTTTATCATCACAACGAGCAAGTCAGGCAGAGAGAGTGAATTGTCTCAGGTCACCCAGTGAGTTTCATGCATCATCAGTGGAAACTAGAAATGGGCCCTCCCAACTTCTATCCTATCATTCTAATATACACCACACCGGTCCTAGCACACAAAGGGAGTGTAACTAGATAACCATGCAATTCCATGTATGAAGTGATTCCCTGGGATACTCTGAAAAGAGATGTGCCAGCTGAGGGATAAGAATTGTTCAAAGGTTCCCATGTCATTGTAGTGATTCCCAAACTCAGACTCTGGAACTCCCTCCCACTGGAGGCCAGGCTGACTTCATCTTTGCTGTCACACCACAAGCAAAGACCATTATCTTCAGATAGGCTTTCCCTTAATGACTGAGGGGTGTGTTATGCCTTGTTGCTTTGAATCTGTTTTTGGTGTCAATTTTGTTTGCCCTTTTTTAGCTTTTAAATATTAAAGACCACCTTGAGTCTTTCTTTTTAAAGGTTAGGGTAAAATATTTCAGGCACATAAATAAATTAATAATTTAGCATTATATGCAACAAACAGCAAAGTACAAAGTTCCCCTTGTGAACCCAGGTTTCAGAGCCCAGAACTGGGGAAAAGGAAGTAAGGAATAAATTGCCAATCAAAATTAACACTTCTGAACTAATTGGACCAACGTAAAGCAAGAGTAAGACATTTCCTTCCTTCAAACACTGAGTATATAATGAAATGTAGTCAACATTTAAGATGTGGCAATAGTTCTACTCCTGCTCCTTCCATATCATCCAGAAGTGAGCAACTTCCAGATTTTGGGACCCACACATACACATCCCTGGTCTTCAGAAGGGCGCACCTCTTGCAACATTCACAACCTCAATTTTTTTCTTGGTTTTCTTTTTTGCAAGAGAAAAAGCTCTCTAGCAGCCCAAAATGTATTAAAAATCAGCTCCTTATCCCCCTAGAGATCACAAGCCTCCCCTCCTCCCAAAAATCGAAAAATGCCCTGGGTTCTGCCTGACAGTCCTATAGTATCTTCCTCCTAAAATACCCAATTTTCTGAAAAGGGCGACCAAGCAGGCTCAGGCTTTTTCGGCCAGCTCTGAAACACCCAGTCTTCGCTGTGTTCTTTGCAAAGTGTGATTAGTTGCAAAGAGAGCCTTGAATTAGTCATAACCTTGCAAAACCTGGAAAAACACAACTAGGAGCAGATTTCAGCTTTACTCTTCTGATTTTCTATGTGCCTGTTTTTCCCCCCATGCTACCAGTAAACAGAGGTAAGATTAGATCTCAGGCCAGTAAAATCTTTGGGCAAAGCTACGGCATTCACTGGGACAAAAGCAAGTTTGACCAGTTCTGCACCCACTTAGCCATACTTTGGAGTGGCTTTGAAACAAACAACTTGAAAACATTGCCAGAACACCATGAAGGGGTGGTGGTATAAGACGTGGAGAAAAACGTGGCGCTTATGGACAAAGAGGGTGTGAAGAGGGAGTATTGGCATTGCGATGATACACCTGGTGCTCCTGCCCTGTTGCTGCGAACAAGGCAGTGCAATCCTAGCAACCAAGTGGCCTTCCTGACCTTTGCAAAGTACAAATACTTCCAGGACAGCCTGGCTAAACCCAGGGCGTGGGAAAGAGTTTGTTTTTCTGGACTACAGCTCCCAGAATCCTCCAGCTTGCATGGATATTAGCTGTGCCTCCTGTCTGATGCCACTTTTCCAATTGCTGGTCATGCTCTGGGTCCTGTTTCATTTACTGATCCATCATCACCTTAATGCTCTTGATGGCAGCATACTTTTGAATTCTGCTACTTCTTTTCTTATCAGCCTCTTGACCTCATAGGGCCCATGACAAAGAAGCTCCCTTGTCCTGCCTCTGGGTTTTTACCAATGTTAGACAAGGTCTCTTATTGACCAGCAAGATCTTACACAGGGATCTACGAGATGTCCCCAAACGCTTTCTCCCTTTACAGTTAATCAATTGTCCATGAGATGAAGGGAGGAGGGAGCACAGATTCGAAAAGTTGCTTTTTCTGGGCAGGAACTCTGAGAATCTTCTAGCTGGCATGGCTGCAGGTGTTGCATTCGGATGGATCCTAGTTTTAAAAAGCAGCTTTCCAAAGTAGCGGGAAGTGTATGGTGCAGGTTTCATCCTGTAATGATACAATACAGCTTGTCCCAACGCCCAAAGCAGAGTCAGTGTGTCACTGCTTTGACTTTTTCATTTTGGCATGCAAGCCAAAGTTGATATTGTATACTCCAGACCAGCTGCTCAGAAGTAAGAAGTCAATTATAGCTAGTGATAAGATTATACAGATCTCAAAAAAATAAAAAAATAAAAAAATGACAATAAACCTACTTTGTCAGATGACTTCCAGTGGGGGCGGAAAAGGCATTCTGTTCAGCTTCACTGAAAAGGCGACTCTTCTCCCTTCTGCAACCCAACCTCATTCTATCCAAAGGTCAGCGAGGGACTGGTTTGCCAGAAACAGGGAGTGAAAGGTCACATAATTTTACCTTGGTGGTCTGTCTTACGCTGACGACAGCACAAACTGGAGGTAGAAAAAAAAAAAAGAATTTCCAGGGGCATTGTGAGCTGGTAGGAAGTTCACAGACGGGCTTGTGACCTTTAATGGCCTTTCTTCCCCACAGTGGCCCGACAAGCCTTCGCAAAGCAGAAGAACATGTTTTATGTCAGACAGAACTCTTTATTCCAAGTCATACCAAAGAGCATTGTGGATCTCCGGTGTTGCTGCTTCTTTTATACATTTTGCAAATAAAGATTTGTCGTAACTGTAGATTTGCAAGTAGTTTGCAAGTGAAAGCTTACAGAATTCCATAGAAATTGAAAATATTTTTCCACCTTCACTGTATTATAATCACACCCATTCTCATAATAATGGGCCCATTCACACTGTTTACAGGCGATATTCATAAAGATATATATATATGCGCCATATTTACATTGTCACACTTCTGTAGTTCTGCCTGCTCTTTTATCCGTTGCACTTTCCTACCAACAGCTTACAGACCCATCTAGGCCGAGCCCTTTGTCA